CTCAGCCTCCCCTGCCCCTTCTACAGCAAATATTGCGGGGGGCAAAGACCCGTCCACCCAGTGGCGTGCAGCGATTTTTTTCATAGGGGAACAATGTTAGGGTAAGAGGCATTTGGGGCATAGCTGTCAACGTTTTCCTTTTTTTAAGGGAAATTCCCTTATTCCCAATAGGATTCCTCGCAAGAAAAGGGAAAAGTTGACAGCTATGTTTAGGGGGGTGCACGCATGAGCATTGTGCCTCCCTCCCAAAGCCAGGCAGAAGCTCCCTGGGCTTTGGGAAGGAGGTGCCAGGGGAACATTTAGGGGACTAGTCTAGCCCTCCTAATCCACTGGGCACATGCCACTGCCTCTGCCCCTAGAACTTGGCACACCCACGCAGCAATAGGAAGTCAAACTATTGGTGCACTGAGCTGTGTAATGCCGGTTGCTGCTGGTAATAATAATAATAATAATAATAATTTTATTATTTATACCCCGCCCGTCTGGCTGGGCTTCCCCAGCCATTCTGGGCGGCTTTCAACAAAATATTAAAATACAGTAATGCATCAAACATTAAAAGCTTCCTTAAACAGGGCTGCCTTCAAATGTCTTCTAAAAGTCTGGTAGTTGTTGTTCTCTTTGACATCTGGTGGGAGGGCGTTCCACAGGGCGGGTGCCACCACCAAGAAGGCCCCCCGCCTGGTTCCCTGCACCTTAGCTTCTCAAAGTGAGGGAACTGCCAGAAGGCCCTCGGAGCTGGACCTCAGTGTCCGGGCAGAATGATGGAGGTGGAGACGCTCCTTCAGGTATACTGGGCCGAGGCCGTTTAGGGCTTTCAAGGTCAGCACGAACACTTTGAATTCTGCTTGGAAACGTACTGGGAGCCAATGTAGATCTTTCAAGACCTCTGCCTGGTTCCCTGTAACTTGGCTTCTTGCAGTGAGGGAACCGCCAGAAGGCCCTCGGCATTGGACCTCAGTGTCCGGGTAAGCTACCCAGACACCACTGCACCCAGAGGAAAGGAGATGGGCACTGTGTCTTTTTTGGCCTTGGCATAAGTTGGCACACCCTGGTGCAACAGCTAGATCCAGCTTTGCCAGGAGCACCACGCTTCACCCACTGTCTAGACAGTAGAAGAGGAAGAAGAAAAATATATAGCTCCCATTGTGGGGTGTTGCATTAAGCTTTGTAGCATTTTAAAGACCTCATTCTTGCGGGAAATTAAGGGCTTGGGTGCCTCTAATCAGCGCTGTTGTTGTCCTACAATAAGCACAACAATGCATATATTATTTTCATGTGGAGGAAGAAGAGAAGCGAGTCACAGTAATGAGAAAAGCACAAGTTCAATTTGAGACCGGGCAGACAGGGATGCAGACAGAGGCCATTAGCACAGGAACAACAGCGTTCAGTCTTCCCAACATATTAGCGCAACAGCTGTGGTTGCCAGATGACCGGGGCAAAAACCCTGACCTGGGCTGCTGTTGTGTCCCAACAGCTGTGTTATATGCAGAAATCGGCAGGTGAAACTTGTCAGCGCAGGAGCAATGGTGAGCCGAAGAGCTGGCGACCCTACAAAATTTACTCCAGACACAGAAGTGCCTTATATAGTTGCATAAACCATTTTGAAAAAAAGTGATGAGCAGCATTTGTGCTACATCAGGAGCACTACTGATGTAGCGTGTGTGTTTGTGTGTGGTCTGTGTGTGTGGTTTGGGAGCTGCACGGCCAGGGAAAAAACAATGCTATCCAGGGTTGTAAAGACTGCAGAGAGAATAATTGGATGCACTCTTCCCACCTTGGATCAAATCTATGCGTCCAGGTGCCATAAGAAAGCTGCAGAGATAGTGCAGGATAGTGCGCACCCCGGAAATGATCTCTTTCAGCTTCTGCCTTCTGGAAGAAGGTATAGGGTTATAAAGGCCAGGACTAGCCGCCTGAGAAACAGTCTCTACGCAAATGCAATTCTGGTTCTAAATGCAGCATAAGGGGTCTCTATAGTATAGTGTACGGTATTTTAAAATGGGGTTTCAGAGTTTTTAGGGGGTTTTGAATGTTTTATGTAGTTTTTCAATTTCATTGTTCTGCAGGGGACAATGACAATAAAGATATCTATCTATCTATCTACGGGAAATTTTAAAAGCCAGGGTGGTATAGTGGTTTGAGTGCCAGATTAGGGCCTGAGGGTTCAAATCCCCACGTCCACTGGGGTGAGTTTGGGCCAGTCCCTGCCTCTCAGACTAATCTACCTCACAGGGTTGTTATAGAGATTAAATGAAGACTGGTGAAAGCATGTGCACCACCTTGATCTCCTTGGGAAATAAATACAATTAGTAAATAAATAAGGGTGGCTAGATCTAACCACCTGACTTTGATTGGAATTGGCCAAGTGTCCTATTTTGCAGAGACAATCCTCTGTTTGAATCTGGCCTTGGGCCAAACAGCCTTCCAAAGAGAGGGCTGTCCTCTGTAAAAAAATAATAAAAAAGGACACCCTACTTATTCTGAAACCTACAACAAGGGAGTTTGCATAGGGAGGCTATCTTGGCAGATGTCTATAAGTGCTATAAGTGCAGACAAGGGGTTCTCACAGTCCAAATACAGTGGTGCCTGGCAAGAGGAAAAGAATCCGTTCCGTGAGTCTCTTTGTCTTGCGGGTTTTTTCGTCTTGCGAAGCAAGCCCATTAGCGGTTTAGCGGATTAGCGCTACAGTACAGTAATAGCGGCTTAGCGGATCAGCTGATAAGCGGCTTAGCGATCAGCTGTTAAGCGGCTTAAAGATCAGCTGATAAGCGGCTTAACGATCAGCTGATAAGCGGCTTAGCCGATCAGCTGATAAGCGGTTTAGCGGCTTGGGAAAAAGTGGGGGAAAAGGGAAAAAACCCCGCAGGAACTCGCAAGACATTTTCGTCTTGCGAAGCAAGCCCATAGGAAATTCGTTTTGCGAAGCACCTCCAAAACGGAAAACCCTTTCGTCTAGCGGGTTTTCCGTCTTGCAAGGCATTCGTCTTGCGGGGCACCACTGTAACCTGTCAAGGACTTCACAAAACAACCAAGTTTCACAATGCATACCCGCCAACATTTCTCTGATGAAAATAGGGACGTCTTATTGAATAATAATAATAATAATAATAATAATAACAACAACACTTTTATTATTTATACCCCACCCATCTGTCTGGGTTGCCTCAGCCTCTCTGGGCAGCTTCCAACATATATAAAAACACAATAAAACATTAAAAAGCTTCCCTAGACAGGACTGCCTTCAGGTGTCTTCTAATGGTTGCATAGTTACATATCTCCTTGGCTCAGGGGTCGCATAACTCCATACCCTCCAACATTTCTCCGATGAAAATAGAAGCGTTCTAAGGAAATGAAGGACATTTGGGGTCAAGTCAGAAACCTGGAAGGCTTCTGTAAATCTGGTACTGTCCCTGGAAAATGGGGACACTCGGAGTGCCTGACAATGGACCCATTGCCATTGACAGAAGCCGCGGCCAAAGCCTTGGAAGTTATTTTGCAGGCAGTGTATAACTGGAACCTGCTGCCACCACTGTAAGGAAGCTTCAGTGTACCAGTGAAACGCAGTTTAAGCTTCTCTTGCTGTTTGCCTTTTGATCAGAATGCAACTGATTCCTTGGCCAAATATTTGTTTGGGAAGCATAGTCAGGCTGGAAGACAATGCTGCCCACTCCAGCACACCAGACCAAAGCCCTGGAACCATACAGGAAGCTGTGGGGCTGGAACAAACAGGGGGAAGGCAAAAGGGGGCTTGCTTACTTGGCTAGTAAATATGCTCTCGTTTGTTTGTTAGGTAAATACAGTCATACCTCAGGTTGCAAATGTGATCCATGCGGGAGGCACGTTCGCAACCCGCAGCGCCACGTCTGTGCACGTGCGTGGCGTGATTCGGCACTTCTGCGCATGACGTCATTTTGTGCTGTTGTGCATGCGCGAGCACCGAAGCCCGGAAGTAACCCGTTCCAGTACAGTGGTACCTCAGGTTACATACACTTCAGATTACAGACGCTTCAGGTTACAGACTCCCCTAACCCAGAAATAGTACCTTGGGTTAAGAACTTTGCTTCAGGATGAGAAAAGAAATTGTGTTCCAGTGGCGCGGCAGCAGCGGGAGGCCCCATTAGCTAGTCACCAAACACATGAATATCCACAGACCTAGAATTCCAGAATTCTGTGCAGGATAAGAGGACTCTAACTGGTAATACAAAATGCCAACGGTAGTAATGTGGACAGTATTCCCAGTGAAAGCAGAGCCCAGTCTCTCGAGATTTGTCTTGGGGCTGTTTAACTTATTCAGAAATGATCTGGAGCCAAGGGTGAGGAGCGAGGCAGCTCATTTCGCAGATGGTGCCAGTATTTAGGATGGCAAATCCCCAAAGCCTGCAGGCCAACTTACACATTACAATAATAAACACACTCTTTTAAAAGAAGTCTGCTCAAATTGGCCTCTTTTATATATCGAAGAGAAAGTAGCTAAAGGACCCAAATTAGAATGTGCACCCAGTGAGGACCACACCTCTATTTCCTGCCAAATTTCCAGATTCTATTTGCCACCAAAAGTGCTGTTTGCTGAAAAATGCACCTTTTGGGGGCAAATTAACCAAAATGGCCTCATTTCTGGTTTCCAAACTGCAAAAATAAAGACAGGTTTATATGAGGGTAGTTCTAGCTGCAACTGAAAAGGCCTTGGGGGAAGTGAGTGGGATGGACCTGTTGAATTTCTGCCTTCACAACACATTGCCATGGTGAGGAGCACTGTGCCTTCTAGGAATGTATCAGGCTGAAATTTATTAGATCTGGATGCAAATTTGATTGCTGCACCTGTTGGGTCTCAGAATGATCCCATCCCTCCGCCGCCACTCCAGTCCAATATTCAGCCAAAAGCTCAAGTGAGCTGTAAAGACTTACACAGTCTTGTATACTATAGACTTATAGACTTATAGAGTTGGAAGGGACCCTGAGGATCATCTAGTTCAACCCCCTGCAATGCAGGAATCTGCAGCTGTCCCTTATGGGGATCGAACCTGCAACCTTGGCATTGCCAGCACCGCACTCTAGCCAACTGAGCTAAATGTTATAAGTGATAGACTATGATTTATTTATCATATTTATATGCCACTTTCCCCTCCAAGATGGAATCTTGACACATATAAAAAACATTGTGAACAGGGATTGAAGTGGCGAAGAAAGTGAAATATTTGGGAATATAGTTAACCCCTAAAAATATCGATTTGTTTCAGAATAATTATACACCGGTGTGGAATGGAATTAAAAAAGACCTGGAGGTGTGGGGAAGGATGAAACTATCTTTTTGGGGTAGAATTTCAACGATTAAAATGAGTGTACTTCCAAAGATGTTATTCTTATTTCAGGCTATTCCAATAATCAAGGGGACAATGATTTTTAAAGAGTGGCAAAGAGTAATTTCAAGATATATCTGGCAGGGTAAAAAGCCGAGAATTCAATTTAAGTTATTAACAGATGCGAAGGAAAGAGGAGGCTTCGCTCTGCCAGACTTGAAATTATATTATGAAGCGTCATGTCTCTGTTGGTTGAAAGAATGGATAAAATTAGAAAATACAGAACTGTTAGATTTGGAAGGATTTGATAACAGATTTGGATGGCATGCGTATTTATGGTGTGAGAAGAAGAAAAGTCATAAAGGTTTTGAGAACCACATCTTCCGGAGATCTTTAATTGAAATATGGGATAGGTATAAAAACCTATTAGAACCAAGAGTTCCACACTGGTTGTCTCCATTAGAGGTTATGAGTGTAAAGAAAATCAATATGAGAGGGAGTTGGATTACATATGGAGAACTGATAACTAAAGAAGGAGGAAAATGGAAAATGAAGCCATATGAGCAAGTAAAAAAATATGTATTTGACTGGTTGCATTATTTTCAGGTAAATGAAATGTTTAAAAAGGATCTTAAAGAGAATGGATATATAGAAAAAGATTCAAAATTTCAAATAGAAATAATAAACAATGATTGTAAGATATTGTCAAAAATGTATAAAATGTTGCTGGAATGGTATACGATGGATGAGGAAGTTAAGTCAGTTATGATACATTGGGCCAGAGATTTTGGATATAATATACAATTAGAAGATTGGGTAAAAGTATGGAAAGAAAATATAAAATTCACAGCATGTACTGCGTTAAAGGAAAATGTTATGAAAATGGTATATAGATGGTATATTACACCGGTTAAGTTAGCGAAAATGTTTAAAACATGTAATAAGTGTTGGAAATGTAAAGAAAAAGAAGGTACATTTTATCATATGTGGTGGGAATGTAAGAAAGTGAAGGGTTTCTGGGAGATGATATATAATGAGCTGAAGAAGATGTTGAAATATACATTTGTAAAGAAACCAGAAGCCTTTCTCTTAGGAATAATAGGGAATGAAATAAATAGAAAGGATTCTAAACTTTTCCATTATGCAGTAACAGCGGCGAGAATATTAATGGCCCAAAAATGGAAACAGAAGGAACTACCGGCCCTGGAAGAATGGAGAATGAAATTGATGGATTATGCAGAATTGGACAAATTAACTGGGAAGATTAGATATCAACGAGACCACAAGTTCATCGAGGACTGGGGAAAATTTACAGTGTATCTGAAAAGAATATGTGACGAACAAACAACGCTAGTGGGATTTAAAGAAGCTCTGTGAAAGTATGAGGAATACTGTAAAAAAGAAAATAAGATAAGGAGGGTAAATCGAAAGGCAATATTAAATTTAGGGAATGCGTAACAAAAAATTTAATTACGGATGATTGGCAGAGAAGCTGAAGGAAGTCCAAAAGATAAAATTTGTGAATTTTTTTGTTTTGTTTGGTTATGGTGATACTGGTATAAATGTACTGAAAATTTAATAAAAATTATTATTAAAAACAAAACAAAACATTGTGAAGGTGCTTTAAAAAACACAAAAAAGTTCAAAAATATATATTGAATTTGCCATAGCTCGGCATCGCCATCTAGTGTCCCATTTGTATAATGCGCTTTACAAAACACTTATTTGCAGCTGTAACGGTCAAGGGTACCTTTACCTTTTTTAGCTGAGTCACAAGGAGCTCAAGGTGGCGTTTGTGGTTCTCTGCCTCCTCATTTAATCCTCCCAACAACCCTGTGAGGTAGGCTAGGCTGGCCCAAGGTCACCCAGGGAGCTTCATGGCTGAGTGGGGATTCGAACCCTGGTCTCCCAAGTCATCATCCAACACCCTAACCCCTGCACCACACTGGATTATACATAAATAATAATAAAAGCCCTTCAGTTTAACATGGGTATTCCCATTTTTCAAACGTGCTTCAAAAAGAATGGAAATTAATGCCAGACTTATACAGTCTTTTATATTATGCTTAGATTGTATGCATCTAATTTCTAAGCAAGCATAATAGCTGCATGTCCCTGCATTGCGGGGGGTTGGACTAGATGATCATTGGGGTCCCTTACAATTCTATAAGTCTATAATATACAAGGCTGTGTATACAATTCTGTGATTCAGCTAGCCAGTACTTTTTTGGCCCTCTTGCCCACCAGGGTGACTGGATCCCTCAACACAGGTGACCAAGTCCCCATTTCAAGGAAAGTCCTCCTGACAGCCCACCTGGACGAGACTGGGCTTGGCTCGGAAAAGCGGAGCAGATGGGATGAATGAAGGGGAAAAGTGGAGTAAGCTGTTAAAGAGATTACTCTGGGATCGCCTGCTCTGTCTGGCTCTCTAATCTCCCGTAATCGCATTCAGTACACATGTCTCACATCTGCTAGAAAGTTCAGCGACATGCTCCCCGAGAGATTAGAGTAATGAAAAACCCAAGGTAATCAAGCAATCAATGAGACACAAAGTGTCTTGTATTTACTGGAGCACAGGCTTTGGTGCATGCATTCGTGTTCTAAGGGCTTTGTTAATATCATCCAGCTCAAAAATGGCAACCGATGCCAATAAAATCAGCATGAAGAGTCGACAGCTGCATCAATGCAGCCGTAGTCAACCTGGAGCCCTCCAGATGCTGATGGACATGCAGCTCCCATCCTCCTTGACCTTCGGCCATGCCAGCTGGGGCTGATGGGATTTGTAGTCCAACAATATTCAGGGGACACCCCATTCGCCGCCCCGCATCGACGTAACGCTCGCAATAGCTAGCATTTGTTAATAATAGAATTCAGCATTTGTACAGCGCTTTTTTTAGCCGAAAAGACGTGGATTTGCTGCGGAAGACAAGAGTCACAGCAGCCACCTTCCATCCCTGGTGATAATGAGTGGTCAGAAGGAGAAGAGGGGGCAGAGTGGGAGGAGGAGGCGTCGGAAGCTGAAGAGGCAACAGGGTTTCGTGAGCAGGAAGAGGCTGTGGCGGAGAGCAGTTCAGACTCAGAGGCAGAAGCAGAGGGAGGTCAAGAGACAGAGTGGAGGCATGTTATTGGAAGAAGCCAGGGAGTCTCTCCCTCCTGCTGCAACCAGTTCCCCTCTCCCTGGTCTCCCAGAACACAAAGGGGAACGAAGAGGGGGGAGCAAAGAGAGGCAAGGCAATATTGATTGCTGGGGAAGGAGCCAGGAAAGGAGCCTTAGAGAGCGTTGGGAAGGCAGGACCTTCAGTCCTTGCAACTGCCTCATTGGGGCAAGACCTACTTAGAAGAGTTGCTGGGATCACTAGACCTGTTTTGGTCGCTTTGAATAAAGAGTTAACTTCAATACTGGAAGAGTAATGAAATTCCCTCTATACAAGATTGGATTCAAAAACTGACAGAATATGCAGAATTAGATGGCCTATCAGAAAAAAAATAAAGAATAAATCAAAACAGGAATTTGTTTCAAAATGGGAGGTTTTCAAAGAATATTTGAAATAAAAATATAGTAGTTTAAACTCGGTTGCAGCATTCGAGGAACTTCAGTAATAGTTGAAAGGCAGATATAAGAATTAAGATATGTTAAGAAAAAAATTAATTATGATCAAAGTGTGTATTGGCAATAAGTTATATGAAATCGAAATATGGAATAGACGGGAGGTTGGGTCTTTAGTGTTAAGACCAATTTATGTCTTATTGTTTGTTAAGAAAATTATGTGTCTGTTGTTATTCCTGTGTGTAATTTGGTATTTGTGTTTTCTCTTTTCTTGCTGTATCAATAATAATAAAAAAGAAGAAAGAGTTAACTTCACTGACACTAGTGACACCTGACTCCAGCTCCTTACAGCTGGCTTCCACTAGTGGAACAAAATGGTTGAATCTGGCCCACAGGGTGGGATCCAGCACTCATCTTGTTAAGTTGTGGGTGAACATATCAGACGGCACAGTGATTCTTCAAACAGCTCTTGTTTATTCACAGGCCCAGAACAGAACTGGGCTAAAGGGTTCAGCCAACCTGCTTATATAGAGCTCAACTACAAAGCAACAGTAACAACTTTCTGTAACTATCCAATCACTGAACGTCACTTTCAATTCCTTATTTGCATATGTGGACCTGAGTGAAAACTATCTACAGCATCCCCCTGCTGGCCCAGGGTGAGAACTTCAGTACATAACACATCTACTGAGAGTAGACTCATAGAAGTTACTGGATGTGACTTATGTTCATTAATTTCCATGCTCTGAGTAGTGGAACTCTACCCATAAAGTTTCGAAGAAGGTCAAAGCAGGATAAAGCTGGGCGTTATTCCGTCGGCAAGCTCTTTTTCTGTTTACGAGGCTGCAATGTTCCCTGCCTTAACGTGAAGTGGTACAGGAAAGGTCAGCGTGAAAACCAGACCTTTGGCCTATGTGGTTCTGTGTTCCAAATGTTACTAGTTCGTTTTGTGCTCTTGTCTCTTTGACAAATGGAGTTTGGGGGGAGAGTTAAAACAAACAGACGCACCTGGGTATCTGCAGATGCTTCCCTCTTTAAAATGAAGAACTGCAACGCTTTGACTTATTGTGCTCCCTTTTGAATAAACCATTTCAGGGTTTTAGCAGTGGCAGTTTGGAAATGTTGTGTCTCTTAGCCCCTGACGCAACTGGCTACCGTGCATGGGAGTCAGCTTTCAGCACATGATGGGAAAACACCAAAAGGCACCCATGTTCTCCAAGGCATTT